AGCGTGGAAAATATTTTTCCACCAAATAGGTGGGAAAACAAAATCAAGCTTTTGTGTATCAAATGATTGTACCTAGAAAAATGTGGAAAATATTTTCCTAGGAAAATTTGTACTATCAAACACCACAATTTGGAGAAAATGGAAAACTTTTTCCTTCTTCCATGGAATTCCTTGGCTATCAAACATAGCCTTAATAGAATTCTCCACTCTTTAAACAGAAGGGAAAAAGAGAATTTATTTTATTGGCATGCGTACAATGACTGATATTCTACGCAATCGTTATGTGGAAGAATTATGATAATATGATTGTCTTAAATAGTGAAATTTGAAACGACAATAAACTCCATCTAAGGAATAAAATTTAGATTTTAATTCAAATCCAAGTTAACAATTAATTTTATTCACATATTTTATGAAAGCATGACTTTTCAATTACACATTTTGCCAATTTGTATCAAAATTTGCTAAAAATCTGATTTTAATTCCCACCAAATAGGGGCTAAGTTCATTTTGATAAAATTAGATAAAATATTTGATTGAAAAATTGATAAAAATTGTGAATCTCATGAATGTATGAGCCCCATCTCGTTGTGAAAATGAGTTTTGTAATAGTGATGTTTTGGAGAGTGTGTAGTTAAAATGTAAGAAAAGTTTTGATTTTGTGTAAACTTATTTATTTGGAAGAATGTGAGGTTGAAAATGAGTTTGTAAAAAATAAGAATTTTAAGGAATAGAGACCAGGAGCTAAAAGCACTTGTCTCTGATCCGTGGAAACAAGTGGCATGGTCTACGGTCCTAATACATTTGTCATGTGTTGGTGATTACACTTGTCCCAAAAGTTGTTGCAGACTGTGCCAATTGTACCTACTTTTTACACTTACAAATTATTTAATGTGAATCAAAAGGTCGGTAACGAGGCCAGTTTTATGGCAATGAGTTCTTCAAAAACTGGGTTTATAAATACAAGTGATTTTCACTACCAAAAGGCCATTATGTTTCCAGTACGAAGAAACTTCTGTAATATGTAAGTCTCAATGCAATTTTCTGGTTTTATTTACCTGCAAAATTAACATATTTGTATATGTTTTGAGGTCATTTTTTGTTATCTTTTTTCTGTTTCTTGTGTTGGAGGTTTAATCTATAGTAGAATGCGTATTCAATAAATTTAAAGTCGACTATGTAATGCTTTAGTTTGTTAGGTCAATCTTATAAATAAAACTTCGTCTAGAAAAATGTCTCATTGGTTTATGCAAAACATGTCCCATCATCCTCATAAATTGTTCACTAACTAAAGTTTGCTCTCTTCAAATTGAAATTTTCAACCAGTAAGACAATTCGATCTTCGTGCTTAGCTGATGTAGTCCATGTTTGGCTCCATCTATATTGTAGATTGGATTGTGTAGATGCATTGTGAACAAAACAGTACTTCTAATCAAACCACTTAAGCTTGGCCAAACACCATCGTTGCGTTATAGCTTATCATACTAAAGATAGAAGTGTTAGTTGTAATTGAAGCATGCGACAACATCAAGAAACATACTAAGAATGTAGATGCCAACTTAGGCTACATCAATAGCTAAATCCTAGTATTAGAGAACGTTAGTTTGCTTCTTACTTCCTTTTTTTGTATCGAAAGTAGTACTTCTCCATTTATTTTATTCTTTTACACGCAGCATGGAAGGTCAGGTTTATACGGTTGACGTTCATGGAGCGCAAAAACTCACTGAAACTTCGTTGATGTTTTGCATAAAAAGAATTTAATAATAAAAGCTAAACCCTTTCTTCTGATGGGTAGATATAAGCAAATAAGCACTTGTGCAAGCTTTTCGTTCACGCCTATGGACACCCAAATTGGGAGATTCTTAGTAGGGCTCGAAGGCTACACTATAAACCCAATTCTCGGATTACTTCACCGGTGTCCTTAATTCCGTTCAACTTCTTGCATGTTCGGAAGTTTTTAAGTGCTTATAAGTTGGTCATTCATTTTTATCCATGTGCAACCTTCAATTTTTATCTACGAACGTGTGACCTACAACTTAAAAGCACTACTTTCAATTGTTCTTAAGATATTTGCTATCATTCATGGGTGTCACTACTACTACTACTTGTCATCACTGCTGCACAAAGAATTGGAGCCACTGTGATCTGCTGGGTTATGGACGAGCATTTTACTTGAGATTTTTGCTTCAGGGTGATGACATTGTACTGAAATTCTTACTCGATAGTTCTTTATTACATAATTCATGAATAAGTAGAAGAGACGTGTGTATATTTGCAACAATGATGATAAGGGATAGCACATTTAAGCAGCAAAGACTATACATTAACTGTTAAACACAGAAAAGTTTCAATAAGATTTATTTGATTTTCAGCTGAGCTTTTACAGTCGTCCTGCTGTAAGTCGATTTCATGATTTATTTACTTCGGAGCAAATCAAGTAATCCATGTTGTTGATGTCCAGGTATCATTTGGCAGCGAGCAGAGTTATTAAAATCCGTTTTCTCATTTGCTCCCACGTCTATTCTGTTTTCAGTAATCTGCAATAGTACGATGAGCAGTAATCAACAGTTTTTAACATTTATTTTACTGATCAACCAAAAACTAAAATACTTAAATTTTCTTTAAGGTGGGGTTTTGTTCTGACTCGGTTCACCTTTTCCTCCAGAAGCCTATTATCTTCTATGAGCCCCTTCTCCTGCCAAAAAAGACACCAGGTGAGCATCTCTAACTGCATTGCTAAGCAGATAGATATTCAATTTAATGCAAGTATTCAATATGTATTACTTCTGCATCCTTCCAATCTATTACCTCTTTATGATAATTAATAAGTATTGTTTTCCCCTCAACATCAGACGAGTAAGTTCCGGGCTTTCTGCCAGTTCCTTTTCAATATAGATTTTGCTCCAAATTTGATCTTGTTTCATTCTCCTTCTGAAGTCAGTGTGATTATTTTTTAAAGCATGTTCTCTTCTACAGATCAGTTTGATGAAAGCTATCATGTTCTTTTCTTGCTATAGGAGTAATTGCCCAAAAAATTAAGAATAATACACAACTCTTTGAACATCAACTCAGACACGATTATCTTTCCTTTTCCAATCCACTAAGCTTGGAGACATAACGATGATAGTCAACAGAAATCTCAAAGGTTTGCCAAGGTTTTAAGTTCATGAACACAGGAGCACTAAATATGACTTTAGTATAGTCTTTAGGTTTCAATGTTGTAAATCGACTGGTTTATACCCTGAGGAGACTGCGATAAGAATGGAACCTCAAATAGTTTCATGGTGGTAAGAAGTGCGATGATATCTGACTGATAGACAAGCCCCCAGCTCCTAGTTATGGTCTCAAACGTTGCAAGGATTCACTTACAGTTTGATTCTAAGACTGATTTAGTATATCAGCAAATATGCTCGATAGATGGGATCACTTGGACAAAATAAATCTTCCGCACTACATGGATGATGGTGAGATTTCCCTGAATCAAATATTATAATGTTTTATACTGTAATATGGAAAGGTGTCACATCATATTCCTCCAAGAGCTGCAATCATACAGAGAGAATATTGTTGGTGAAGTAAAGGTCCTGCAGCAATAACCTACTTACTAGCATACAAAGACTAAAGTATACATTTTTAGCAGGTTTGGCATGGAGGACTAGACAGTGTTGGTAGTCTTTAAGGCATAAAAAGAAGCTAAATCTTCTCCATTGTATTGGCTACCAAACTTGCTCTTCCGGTTTTACTCTTTGCCCTAGCCTTTTTTTTTTCCATGTGTTCAACATGGTAGCCAAGCTGAAAAAGGTACTAAGGCCTTTGACTGCTTATTATAGGTTATCATTAGGGGGAGTCATGGTACCAAAACTAGTCATTAGCATCAACTGCCACTAATCTCGATTTCTAGTCATACTATAAAGTCTGAAGTTTCTATTAGATGTAATCCTCACAGGACTCTATTTTCATAAAGCAGAGATTCTTATTATCTTCTGCCAAACCTACTCCTTTTCTCAACAATGCACCGTGTTTTCCTTGTTCTCCTATAACGACAAGCCTGGCCAAAATGTTCAATTGTCCACATATGGTAAGAACAAGCCTGGCCAGAATGTTCAATTGTCCACATATGGTAATTAGCTTAGCCACCAGCGGCTATGGATTCGGACAGATGTACAAATGAAGTCAAGGTATTCAGCTAGGAGGGTGGTGCACAGATAATATGAGCAGGATAGTGAAAGTTATCCAAGAGATCTATGGTTAATTATTAAAAATGCTTATTGAGAACTGCAAACGGTGCAGAACGTTACTTCCTTGTCCACGGGGTAGCTAAATGCATACAGAAGATGGACATAAAATTTATGCTGAAGATATTTTCAAATATTTATCTAACTAGTGTGAGTGGAGGAAAAAAAAAAATGTTTGGACACAGTTTTTCTGGACATTGTAATAATTACTTTAAGATTATGAAAACGCATAACAATTTTTGAGATGAACATATTGACCCTCTAGGTTTATATCTCATCCAGAAAGCTTTGACATATCCTCTTGGATTTTGGGAAAGAAATTTTTTTTCCAGAAATTAATAAATTCAGAAAGCCTGGAGGCAAGTAACATTAGTTCCATAACTAAGGGAAAAATTGCAAACCAAGTTCCACAAGAAAGGGAAAATTGCAAACCTTTTCATGAAGACTGGTTATAGATTGCAGCATCAGACGCGTCTGCATATATAGAAACTCAATGAATGTACATTATTGCAACACAAGCTACAAATATAAAATGTAAAAAGCCACTATATGTAGTTGGAAGAAAGATTTCGAAAATTTAAACAGAATAAAGAAAAAAGACAATATGCAATATAAATATAAACCAAAAGAAAAGAAAACAAACCTGAACAAAAATAGGGAAAAAGAATATTTTCTCAAGCTTATTTCTGGAAGACTCAAAAGGCAATATAGATTTCAGTGGTAGGTCTAAAATCGTTAGTTAAGGGTGCATGGCCTTCCCCCAATATAAAGTATGGTATAGTAAGTGCAGTACAAGAATTTGGTATAGCAAGTGCAGTACAAGAATTGTCCTCCTTCAATTAGCTTTATTGTAACAACATGAGATAGGCAAGTAAAAAGTCTGACAAACTGCAAATGGCAGAGCAATGCACATATAATAGGTAAGAGACAGCCAGTTTTTTTGTATTGAATATCTAAGCCACTGGTTGTAGACGGTAACCTTTGGTTTCTCCCATAACTCCACAGAACCTTGTTTTATCTTTCATTAACAACTGGTTCCTTTTTTACTTGTTCTGTTTTTATTTCATTTTTTCCTTATTTAAGTTTCAGAAAATTTGTAGAGATAACTTCTACACCCCTCTCTGTATTTACAGAACCTAAACCTTATTTCTCCTTTATCATTCCAGAAGCCACACTTTCAATTCTGCTTCTGTCCTTGCAGATTTATATTTTTCTTTCTTGCCATTGTCCAACTGACCAATATAAATAAATAAATATCTTCGGAGAATATCTTCAGCAAAAGTATGAAAGGATGAAAAGAGAAAATAGTTGATACTTTATGTTGGTGTTCTCTGAAGGTGTATTGAGAATAGTTAGAAAAAAACTGGCCTCTGTAGATCTTGTTCTTACCAGTGCAGCCTGGAGTTGTCCCTCATAAAGTTAATGTACTCTAGTAATAAGTATAAGAATAGTGTGAAAAGATTGACCTTTGTAGATCTTGCTCTCATTATTGCAGCCTGGAGTTGTTCCTCCAAATGAACAAGATCAGTTATGCTGAGGTTATCAACATCTGGCTCTCTGAGGTCCCTGTGTAAAAATGAAACAATCTTGGGCACAGTTTTCTTATAGGGAAGCTAAACTAGAGGATAAGTACTTGCCTTTCCACTATTTGCAGAAGCTCTCTACATGACAAGCAACTTGCATAGTTAGAATAATGTTCCTGCCATGGAAACAGTAGAAAAAAACATATCAGATTATACAAATTTATGAGCACACACAAATGCAGTAAAAGACATTTGCGAAATGGTGACATATCATCTAAATATATTAATCGAATACACGAAGTGCCATCTAGTTCATATTCTGTAAATCACCATGCAATGCGTAAGATCTCAATGATTCAATAGTATAATATATTGATGACACCAGGCATTTGTCCTCACCAAATTCCATTGGTCTCATTTGGGATGTTAGGATGTTGAACCGTATAAAAACCTGTAATTAGTGTTTTGTTATGCTGCTGGAGAAGGTTGAAATTTATATAAAGATTGATCATCAGTCTGTGACCACCAGATGATTAACAATGCAACCAATCATCCCTTTTCTGTCATGCTACAACTGCTGGTTCATATGAATTGATGATCAGTGTTTCATTAGGCAAGAAGGTTGTAAAAATAGATCTGATCATCAGTCTGTGACCACCAGATAAGATCTTTTAGCACAAGTATTTTTTTCGAAACAATTCAACGCAGACTCTTTAGTTTAAATGGTCAATGTTTAAACGGAAAACCTTCCAAAAACAAAAATACAAATTTAAGGCTCTAATCTAGCCTGTGTGTATTAAAGATGCTAAGGAATTAGACCACAACACAGCTCGAATGGAAAAATCATTTTGAGTTGAAACGAGTTTAGAAGTGAATATGACCTGAGTCTGACAAATCCCTGCAGAGGCACTTGGTTCAGCTTCAACATGGCTGTGATACCGTCGCAAGATATCTGGCAAGCTGGTATAGTAGGTTCAGTTACACACCAGAGTGAAAGAACACCTTGGATTCTAAATTAATGACATAAAGAGGAACTTTTATAGGTATAAAAGTAATGTAAGAACCAAATAATAGACATCATAAGCCATGAATAATTGACCAAGTTATTAATTGCTATCAGGTATACAAGGATTCTCAGAAGCTCATACTTGGACGTCCAGCTCTTTATCTATTCCCTACAAAAGGGTAGGGGAGTAAGGACAAATAAGCTGATAGAACCTTTAGAGGTTGATGAAGACAACCATATTTTAGAAAAATTCTCTGTTATATATAGAAACATATTCTACTTAAAATGGATATGGTCCATCAGATGAATAGGCTTATTCATGCTTGAAATTATTAACACTGATCCTATAGGGGAGAGTGGATAGGAATAGGATCGCATCAAAAAATTCAGTGTTACCCTTATTATTATCTTAACATTAGAAACTCTATTATTTCAGCTGGAAATATTCTCATGAGGATTTGGATCAAAATTAGCAAATGATACTCGTTCAAAATCAAAACCTTCCACTATCTGCCTAAGCCTCTAAAGAAAGCATATTAAGAAATATACAATTCCCGATAAATGCCCAGCATCAGGAATATCCTGTTAGCTCCCAGAAAACCTTGGGCACAGAAACCATTTAGAAGTCTTCCCACCAACCTTAGGGTTATATACCTTCACATTCTACAAACACTTATTTTCAACACATTTAGGTAAGATGGTCTGAGAAACAGAACAACTATGGAACAAGTAACACGCAATTATAAGCGTGCAGGCAAACATGGGTTTGTGGCCTGACACCATAAGATCAACAACCTTTTTCCATTTTCCTCTCGGAAGTTTAACATGCAAAATATTTGAATAGTCAGTGTGTACTTATAAGTGTGAACTTGATACACACAATGACAAAAATAGAGTTCAGAAAATGATGGTTAGAGTTATATAGATAATAGATTGGTACATTAAGAAAAAACCATGCGCATCTAGAACCTGTGAAACAATCAATACATATGCAATGTATACAAAATCTATGAAGACAAATGTATGGTTATGTGCAAGCTATGAGTGAATAAATATGCAATCTAAACACAATCTATCAAGACATGCATGGCCACGTGTTCGTTTAGATGGAAAAAAGTGTAGCCTCTCAAGGTATGCCAACCGTGATCAGGGTTTCTGAAGAAAATTTCTTGACATGACATACGATAAAAATTAGGATGGCATAATTTCAAGATTTATCTTTCACGATCATGTCATAATTTGAAACGAACACTGAAAGTGTGTGATCATCAAAAGGCGATAAAATATACATGGCCACATGTTCGTTTAGATGGAAAAGAGAGCGCAGCTTCAGGTCTTAAGGTATGTCAACACTAATCAGGAATTCTGAAGAAAATTCCTTGACATGACACATAAAATTAAGGATTGCATAATTTCAAGATTTGATCGTTCATGATCATGTCATAATCTGAAATAAACACTGAAAGTGTGTGATTATGAAAAGGCAATAAACAAATAAGATGAACAAGTGAACCAACCCATTTCTCCAATCAAAGCAAGCATAGGAGTCAACAGGCTTCGTATCTTTCTCATTGGGGATAAGCCCCGAAAATGAAAGCTGCGAAATTGGAAGGATTGAGGGAGAAAGGCAAGGGAACTCTATGAAGAAGGGATCTTTGTCATTTTCGTCCAGTTACCGTCATAATTGGAGGATGGACTCCCCTTCCCTTCGGCGTTATTCATCTTAGAGAGGAGGATGCCACAGGAATATAGAGGATACAGTATTCCATCTATTATCTTGCCTTTTATAAGTTGTTTATATATCACGATTTGAGTTTTTTTATATGCATTTCCTAGAACAAGGTGCTACTTTAAACATAACTCAACCCCAAAGACTAGGAAAAATAGAGAAAAGGTTGCATTAGCCTCCTACAACTGAAGTGCGATATCCCCTAGTGAAGTTGCAATTAATGACGTGACACAGAGCTTTATTTTTTCCTTTCTTTTATGGTGTTTGTATTCTTGTTTTCTTTTCTCTCTTTATTTTTCTTTATAGCAAGAAATTTTTTTAAGTAGGCAATCAAATGTATAATGTGTTTCACTCTTTTTCTAGTTGTAGATTAGCTTACTTGTTATGTAATGCCTTATTATTTGCTACATTCTTGATCTCTATGTTTTACACTTTATTGCTACTTTGCATGAGAATAATAAAAACTCAATTTAAATCCATTCAAATGAAGTTAAGCAAAACTTGTAAGCCATAGAACATAGGATCACAAGCAAGCAACTAGAATATCATACCGACACGACACGACACACCACGCCACGTGTAACTAATGGACTTGAGACGTGATATGCTGTAACAAAGGGTGCTAGCTAAGTGTCGATCTTAGTGTGGCCTACTTGCTTTTGACCATGAACGATTTAACAAAATTTCAGAATAATTTTTACTATAAAATGGACTAAACTAACCTGAAAAGAAATACAAATTCCCAAACACATGCATATGATAGAAATCAGAAAATTTGGAAATGCTTAATCCACTTTATCGTAAGTAGTCTCCAAAGAGTTTCAAGATGAACGAAATCAAAACCAACATTAAGTTCTGTTAGAACTTGAGTGTGACCCGAATTCCTTGTTGAAATAATTGAAGAATTCCAATTGAAGTGCACGTCCTGAAGTATTCAAATTTGGAATACTATTGGAGTCTTATATCATGTTGAAGTTCTATTTTGGAAGCCCATTGGGAGTTGGAATTTGTTTTGAACTCAATTTTATGGTATCCTACTTCATCAACAACTCTACTAGGTGGGTTTGGACATCCCCTACTTATTTCCTATAAATACTAGGCTCTTCTATAGAATTTTATAGTGTGAGAAAATAGATTCTCTACTAGGTGGGTTTGGACATCATCTACTCATTCCATATAAATACTAGACTTTTCTATACAATTTTATAATGTGAGAAAATAGATTACTAGAATTATAGGATCTATTGTAATTTTCTCTCTTCTCCATTATTCTTAAGTCAATAAAATCTTTTAATTCCTATGCCATATTCTTGTCTTTATTATTCTTTTGCTTGATTATATATTTCATTATTATTTGGAATATAACTTCAACATCTTAATCCGATGGTTTGTTTCACAACAATTGGTATCAAAGCTATTCTGGTATCTTGATTATTTTACAACATGTCCTACAATAAATGTGCACTAGTCATTAGATAAAGAATTAAATTTAATTTTAACTCCAAAATTACTAATACGTTAGGTACTCTATAAACAAATCTAACCTTAATTGCCTTTTGCAACTGATAAGGTTAATCTTTACAATGTGATGGAGGATTAGAATCCAAACAAGAAGAGGATGGTGAGGGACTACTAGCAGAGTTGCAAAAAGTGTCTCTCAGTATGTTGAGATAAATCTACCTTCGAAGTCTTAACCGTAATCTTGACCATGCAACAAGTCAAGTTCAAATGACATAAGGATAAGGTGAGAAAACTAGAGGTATCCATATTAACTATTCTTAATACTTGACTCTTTCACTACTCTTTGTCGCTTCTTCCACTGATCGAGTTTGAACACGTTTTCTATCCTACAATTTTAGGAAGTAGTTCATCTGACTTTAAATGTTCAAATCACAAATCTTACCCAAAATGCACGCTCGTAAAGATTAAACATAAAATCTAAACTAGAGTGCTAGTTGTGTTCACTACTTGCTCAAGGTTTCATGAGCAACAACATATTGCAGTGTTATTCTAAATATATTAGTGGTGCGTGTAGATGCACGAGTAGGCATGGATTACACATGGGACCCTAGTTCAATCGCCTTTGAATAGAAGGATTAGTCATGGGAAAACATTAAAGGCACTTGTCGGTTTCGACTTCTCTATCAATTGTACAACTGTAAGATGGAAGATCGATGGTATACAAACAATGTTCAAAAGACCTATTCGCAATTGAACCTAGGAAATATTAAAGATAATGGAAAATTAAATTCGTATTGCCAACTCTATAATCACGTGATAAAATACTCAAGAGTACCACTTAGACAGGCTATTAATGTTACAAACGCATACATGATACGTCATTGTTTTGTTTTCAAGGGGTGGTTTTACTTCCAAGCGATCAAGTACTTTCATAATCTACAAATCAAGATACAACATGTTTAATTGTTGAAATTATAAATTGCTTCAATATTTTATTTATGAGGTTATATGCAACACACTTGTACCCTTTCATTTAGTGGATTATGCACATGGTAAAGGAGTACCTTTAAAGATGAACATTAGATTGGGTTTTCTATAATGAAAACTCTCCGAACAAGTTTGTTTTGGCCCCCTTTATCGCTCTTCAATTTAATTTTTAACCAGTTTTCAACCCAATCTTTTTGACAATAGTGGGGCCAATGTCTGCACCCTATTTAATCACTTGGCAGAGGATATCAATATCCATGGGACCGTTGGACAATGTAAGGACATTACCACCCTCCACTTTTCCTGTCAAATTACAAAATTACCCCCCAATGCATAGCCCCCGTTTTGGCACCTAATGTTTGTAGGGATAATATGGTCTTTTAGTCCTCTAGTGTAAAAATTTCCATCGATTATTATTGACCATCAATTCCACACGTCACCTGCACTTTTAGATGGAATGGACACATGGGGCCCTCATGTGGTTGAAAAATTTGGCAAATAATGAATTTTAATGAAATTTAAAGGGGCCAACGGGGGCCAAATAGTACTAAAAAATAAATAGTAAAACTTCATAATAGAATCCTGGAAATACTAGGAATCCTAAGATTATCCTATGGTCTTGACTTCCTTTGATCAATTACCCCTCCATGTTTCTAACCTGTAAATCCGCCATAACGCATGGAATGTTTTGATCCTTTTGTTTCGGGAGGAATAGCTTTTCACCATATTGCAACAGGGACATTGGGCATATTAACGGGTCCATTCTAGGGAAAGGTC